AATGATGCTGCACTTAAATGGTTAGATGGCCTAGATATTGGTATTTGAACATAGAACTTTTCAACATTTGTATTTTATTGTGTTACTAATCTAGGTAAAATGTTAATATATATTACTAGTCCATGTAGGATATGCCACATGCTAAATAAATAAGCACATTGTTTTATTTAAGCAAACAAAGGCCACATCAAATTCTGGCAGGCACTGTCTATCTCACTTTCTGATACTTCATTAAAAACCTATCTTACTATTTGCTATCTGAACTAAAACATACATCAAATGTAAAGGGATTTAATTCTACAAAAGTAACACTGGGAAAGAACATGAAAAGCTCTCTTAAATTCTACATTGGATCTCCATCCCCTGTAGGGTTGAAAAGTATTTAAAATTATAACAGCATCCAGACATTTTTTTAAAAGGTTGCTCTCCATCCACCTCTTTCTTCTGATAGCATCAACTTTTGTTTGCCTTTTAAAATCTGCTTTGCTTCTTTGTAGAACTACACCAGACTTGGGCTGCAAAATTTCAGATGACCATTGTGGTCTTTTTTAAAAAAACGCTCTGGCAGCTACAGCCATCAGAGTTGTACTGCAAAAGTCCAAGGACATGCGGAAAATGTTGTTACCTAGGTCAGTGTTTCTCAACCTTAGCAATTTTTAAGATCTGTGGACTCCAACTCCCAGGCTTCTAGTTGGGGAATTCTGGGAGCTGAAGTCCACACATATTAAAGTTCCTGGGTGTGAGAAACACTGACTTAGGTGATGACAAAGAGCATTTTCTGCATGTCCTTGGACTTTTGCAGTACAAATCTGATGGCTGTAGCTGCCAGAGCATATTAAAAAAAGACTGCTGCCAATATACTACTATGGGATATGCTAATAAAATACCAAAAATACATTTGTGTGTGTGTGTGTGTGTGTGTGTGTGTGTGTGTGTGTGTGTGTAAGATCTAAGAAAGTTGTATCATCATGAGAAACAAAAGCATTTGTTCGTATTTGTGTAAGGGAGCCGGGAAAGAGTTTTTAGCTTTAGCTTACACATCTTACATTATTTTAATCATTGCAAGTTTTTTTAGTTGGAGATGCACTTGGGCTTTGTTTTGCTTTAAAAAAAAAATCTAATTGCTGGTTTTTAAAAATTTCAATGGCAACTTTACACACACACACACACACACACACACACACACAGAGAGACACAAATGTATTTTTGGTATTTTATTAGCATATCCTATAGTAGTACATTGGCAGCAGTATTGTGGTCTTTTCCATCATTATTCATTTATAAATGAGTTGATTTGTAATCTGAAAGATTTACAGCCAAGCATAGGAAAGAGGACAAGTTATTAGTTTTGAGAATATTGAAATGATTTGGGGTTAATCTGAATGAGCCTCAAGGCTACCGTTCTGCTCTGTCACTCTTGTGGGCTACAGATGTTTCTGAATGCAACTTTCTTATGTTGGCACCCAAAAATCTTACCTCTTGACTTCATGTAGTCACTATGAATGTGTTTCCATTGAAAACCGAAAGGAATTAAAGTTCTTATTCAGGCTGTTGCATGAATTAAATTTGGCCACCGTCTTCTAATGATTAGTAAACAGAAAGGACCAAACTATCCTACTTTTCTTTTCATATTTAATAGAACTGGAAAAATAAGGGGATTTGATATTTACCATTAAGTGCTTTGATTTCTTTAGTAGAAAATGGGAATCTATTATTAATACTATATAATTCTCTTTTGCTCAACCTGTACACGAATGTAAATAAACTTAAATTATAAAATTTATATTCCATTTCTGGTGACTTCTTTTCAAGAAAATATGAAATTAACCATGAGTATTGATTAATTATATGTGAGTGCATCACATCATTTAAATAATTTGAGAACTTGGGAATAGAGAAATAAAACAAAATTCCTTTCCTGGTGATGTCTTAAAAAATAAAAATGCAAATGAATAGACAGTAATCTGCAATTGTGCCCCACAATGCTTGTGCCATGTTTGTAACCAAGCCAAGAGCTGATGTTGGCAAAAGAGGCTAATAAACACAAAGAAAACAAAAACTTTTTCAGTTATGTTCAGAATAAAAATAAAATAACTGTAACAGTTCTTCAGTGAAGAAAGTGGCCAAATACTACTAGCCAACCCAAAGTAAAAATTCTTAATCAAACCCAACATGAAATAAAAGGCAGAAGCATACAACTCCTGTTTTGACCCTGTGTTCATTAACAATTGGGTATGGTGATGTAGTGGTTAGAATACAGTACTGCAAGCTAATTCTGCCCACAGCCTGGAGTTCAATCCTGATGGGCTCTGAAGTCAGTAAAATGAAGACTCAGTTTGGGGGCAATATGCTGGCATTGTAAACCAGTCAGAAAGTTCTATAAAACACTATAAAACACTATGGAATAGTTATAAGTTTAAGTGCTATTGCTATATCTTCCTTCAGACATATGGGAAAAACAGGCTGAAGAGGGAGGAGGAAGACTGAGAAAAACATAATAGGAGAACTTATTTGGAACAAGTTTAAATCTTCAAGGGATAATGCCTCACATTCTTTCTGTAAGTAATACACATCCCCTGGTTATCAGGGAGATTTTTATTGTCCTTAAATACAGGCTATATTCAAAGATGAACAACAAGTTGTAAACTTTTTTCCCATTTTTATACATAGCTCATTTGATTTCAGAATTGCTCTTGGGAGTTGCCCTTAAAGCAAAAGCAACATATAGAGGGAATTTGCACATGGTGTGGCAGAAGCTGTATGTACTATCTTAAGAAATACCAGAAACTGGTAAGATGGCAGGCAACTGAAAGACAGCGGATATTTTCCAGGAGGAGGGACGCATTTGGCACCATTCCAATTCACTGCCCAAGAGCCTTCGACATAAGGCTGAACTGATGATGGATTTACTGGAGTGTTCTTCTCTGTAGATCCTGGCTGGACTAACCCATTTACAAACTCATTTTTTTTCCTTCTTCTGACATTTTCTGCTGTGCTTGCCATATTTTGATCCCATTCTGATTTGTGTTTAGAGACTTTTCTTGCTGGTACACAGATAGATAGATATACAAAAAAAGTTGGTAGAAAAAAATAAAAGGGGGGCAGGAGTGAATAAGTTCAATATGGGTAAAGATGCTAGAGCANGATGGAGAGAGGGAGAAAATGAGAGGAAGGAAGGACCACAAACCCTGGCACTAGATGCAGCTTAAGGGGATGCTTTGAAACAGCACAGCAATCCAGGGCTGAAAGGACCTTCGAGATCATCTAGCCCAACCCCCTGCTCCAGCAGATCTTATATCATCTTGGTTGTTTTGCTGCCTCTAACATAGAGGAGAAATTCCCAGAAAAGGGAAGGAGTTTACTAGGCAAGGCTGCCATGCTGAGAAAGGCAGAGATAGTCCTTGACTTATGACAAACAATCGAGCCCGAAATTTTGGTTGGTTGCTAAGCAAGAGCATTGTTAAAGTGAATTTCAGCGCATCTGACTCAATCCATCGTCCAACAGTGGATGTCAATCACTGTGGGTCAGATTGAGAATTTGAGAGCAAAGGCCTGCTGGATTACCGGTGATTGACACATTCGTAAGGGAAGGGGAAGGGTACTCCTCGACTTACTGTATGTCCACCATTGAGCCTCAAATATCTGTTGCAAAGCGAGACAGCTGTTCAGTGAATTTTCACCCACTTTACAGGATGAAAAGGAGACTTATGACTGCTTTTCACACTTAACGACCGTTGCAGCATCCCCATGGTCAGGTGATCCAACTGACTCTTACTTATGTGTCCCAGAGTCACGTGATCTCCTTTCGCAACCTGACCAACAAAGTCCACAGGGAAGCCAGATTCACTTAACGACCATGTGACTTACTTAAGAACTGCCACCAGTCGCTTAACAACAGTGGCAAGAAAGGTCGTAAAGTGGGTGAAGGCCAGGGCAAATGCGCGGGGGCGTGTCAGCCGAGGAGGAGGAACCTTGGCGGAGAAGCAGGTGTGGCGTGAGGGTAGAAGCCGAAAAGTCCCATCCCGTTTCTGCATCTGATGATGGGCAGAGAGGCCTTCGGGAGTGATGGGGGTGGGCAGTTATCCTGGCATCCTGGTCCTCCCTTGCTGACCGCTTCCTTTAGTGGCAGAAAGGGCAGGAGGAGCTGTTGTCCTGGACCTGATCCTCACCAAAGGGAAGGAGAAGGCTTGAGTAAACTCCTACTTTGGGTTTGCACCCAATTTGAACCAGGGATATTTAAGCAGGCCACATTCGGACAACAGGCCAGGCCATCAATCTAACCAAGAATCCCTTTGGACCTTCTCAGGGTGGCCTCTGCTGCCCTCCCCAGGGTGGGCTCCCTTTCCCCAGGGCGGGTCCTCGCCACCCTCCCTCCTTGATGTAGGTGCGCGCTGTGGCCCGGGAGGGGCTGATTTCGGGAGGGCCCAGCCGGGGAACCCCAGTCCCGGCTGACGGAAGAGAAGCGGGAGGAGCGGAGCAACAAGGCCGGAACCCAGCCGGCCGCTGCTATGCCAATACAACAAGGCTTCTGTTGCCCTGGAAACGTTTCCTCCTCCGGCCGGAGAATCCAGGCTTCCAGGCCGCCGCTGCTCTTCTGCCCGACGGGGACTCGCACGGAGGTAGAGGCGCTGCGGGATGGGTATATGTGTGTGTGTGAGAGAGAGAGAGAGACTCCTGCTCAACCACCACCCCGGCTGCCCCGCCTGCCCCCCAAGTCGCCCTACCCTCTTCAGCAAACAGCACCTCGGGGCGTCGGGAAAGAGCTCCGTTGGCTCGCCGGGGCTCGTCTCAAGCGAGGCGGCTCTCGCGTTTGCACCACTAGATACCACCCCCCCCCCCGCCCACGGCGGCAGAGAGGCTCGCGGTGAGCTCTGCAGCCACGGGAGAGCCGGCAGCCCAGGGTCCCCTGACCTCTGCCCGGCTCCTTTCCCCCGAGCCCTCCCGGCGCCCTTGCCCGCCCCATCGCCTCCCTCTGCCTGCTTGTCTCCGGCAGAGTCAGCATGGACGCGGAACCCACGGAAGCGGCAGCCTCGCGGCCTCCGGCGGTGTCCTGGAAGGCGGCGGTGGGAAAGGAGGAGGAGGAGGAGGAGGCAGCGCCCAGCAGCACGTCGCCCACGGCTCCCGAGGTGGAGGAAGAGCTGATCCTCCCCACCACCACCACCACCTCCCTGGGGAGCGAAGAAACCACGGTCTTGCCGCGGTCGAGCTCGTTGGAGGGGGAGGACGACCTCCCGGACCCCTCCTTGCCCTCCTCGTCCGAGTGGCCGGAGCCGCAGAGCGCCAGCCCCAGCGAGCCCTCCTCCGCGCCTTTCACCTTCTCCTCGCCCTCGCCGCTCTCCTGGAAGGCGCCCTCCGACAGGCTGCAGCGGCGGCTGGAAGGGAGTGAAGGCCGCGGGGAGCAGCCCGAATGGACCAAAGCCAAAAAGAAATGCCCGCCGGCCAAGAAGGGCGCGCCAAGTCAGTGGGAGTCTGCCAGGGCGGCGAGCGAGAGAGCGAGGAAGCGGGCAGTCCAGAAGCGCAGCCGGGCCCCGGGCAGGGGGCAGCCGGCGGGCGGGCGGGCGGGGGAAGGAGAGGAGAGAGCGCCGGCGCCGCGGCTCTTGGCCCAGATGCTGCTTCCCTTTGGCCGCCGCGCTGGGCTCTGGCCGCGGAAGAGGGGGGGAGGCAGGTGGCAAAGCGGGTGGCCTCTGTCCAAGGCTCCAGCCCAGCAGAGAACAGGTGTCCCCTCTCCCGCAGGTGGCGAGGAAGGAAGGGGGGCTGCCCTTGAGGAGAAAGCCGGAGCAGGATAGCAATCTCCACAGCCCCATAGCCTCCCCCGCCTTGAAGCAGCTGGCAGGCAGGCAGGAAGAGGGAACAGCAGGGGGGGGGGGGGCTGGAGGGCAGCAGTGGGGGCGAAGGCCCCTCCTGGAGCCCAACATGGGAGGCAGCTGAGGCAAAACAACCAGGAGCCAGGATGGAGGAGCCACTGAGGGGGGCTGTTCTCCCCACAGCCTACACGGTGAGGACCATCGTGCCAGCCGAGAAGGAGGAGCTGGTGTCGGTGGCCAAGGCCATGCACCGAGAGAAGTTCGCCAAGAGCGTCAAGGAGCTCTTCCACCTGGAAAAGGAGGCGGCCCTCAGGTCCCTCCAGACAGGTGGGTGGGAGCCTCAGTGACCCACCGAGGGGCAGGACCCACCGGGCGCCTCTGCCGCGATGCCAGCTTCAAGCCTTCACCTCTTTCTGGGCAGGAGAGCATTGCAGCCAGGAGCTGCTTTCTGGGCATACTCTGCGTGAGGAGGAGGAGGGGGGACCCTGGGCAGAGTCCAAGCCGTTTCCCAGACTGGCATCTGGGATGTGCCTCCTCTTCCCCCACCCCATGAGAGAGAGAGGTTTGAGGCTGCTGGGTGGGATTTGGGTTGCCTGGGGGCAGGGCCCTCCAACAGCCCCCGCCCCCATCCTCTGCAAGCCCACCTACTGAGCATACCCATCTGTTCTCTTCAGGCCTCTACATCGGCTGGCGCTGCCCTGAATACCTTTGGGATTGCTTCCGGGTGGGGGATGAGTCCAGGTGCTTCTGTGGGCACCTGCTGAAGCTGCACCAGGTGTATGTGGGTGAGTAGCAGAGCAGGTGATGGGCTGGAGAGGGCCTGGCTGAGGGCGACGCCTGGCATCCTGCACTAGATGGTAGCTGCCTTCAGGATACCCAGACAGGGGAGGGTCTTGGCAAAGAGGAGTCGGCACATTCTGTGGCATCTGCCAAGAAGCCTTCCCTCCTTACCAGAGTCTTTTGCCCTCCCCAACAGCTCCCACTTCCAGGGGGCATTTTTGGGACTGGGGGAATGAGGGGGGAGAGTTCCTGGGACAGAGGTTCTGAGTTTTGCCTCTGACCAGGAAGCCTCAGCCACCAAATAAACAGAAAGTTGGGAGGAATCGGGCAGCCCCTTCCCAAGATCTGGCTCTTTTGCCCCCATAGAGGAACAGGGCTTCCCTCTGGCAGGATTCATGTTTTTGCTAAGAGCCAAGGTGGCGCAGTGGTTAGGGTGCAGTACTGCAGGCCACTTCAGCTGGCTGTTATCTGCAGTTCAGCGGTTCTAATCTCACTCGCTCAGGGTTGACTCAGCCTTCCATCCTTCCGAGTTGGGTGAAATGAGGACCTGGATTGTTGTTGGGGACAATATGCTGACTCTGTAAACCGCTGAAAGCCCTATGAAGCGGTATATAAATCTAACTGCTCTTGCTATTGCTATTTATATCTCTATCTCTATCTCTACCAATATCTATATCTATCCATCTCTCTCTCTCTCTCTCTCTCTCTATCTATCTATCTATCTATCTATCTATCTATCTATCTATCTATCTATCTA